GATCCTCAGGCAGTCGCCGGCCAGCTAAATTAGGACCCCACCTGGAGCTCCTCCCACCGGACCAGCGCTGACTCGCCGCTGCTCTCCCGCACCGAAGGTAAGTGAAAAAAAAACCCATAGCGCAAACATCGGGGCATTTTGACAAGTACGAGTACTTGTCAAAATGCCCTGTTTTTTCTGCCCTCACCCTGCAGCGCCGTAAGGCACCCGCCTTACTTGCCTTGCGCTAGCGCCGCGCCTGGTAGGCAGCTGAGTAGGAAAGGGAAGCTTGCGTGCAAATGGATCATTTCTTTAAGAGCCATGATTTATGGGAAGCTCCTGTTTCTTTAAGTGATAACTCCATTTTATTTGTTCCTTTATCGTAGGAGAACCATTTAATAACACCATGATTATAAATGCAGCCGTAGCCAACATAATTGTTTCCATATTGCTGAGCCATCGATTCGATTATGACGATTCCACGTATTTGAGGCTTTTGGAAATATTTAATGAAAATATCCGAATCCTCGGCACTCCATCAGTTATGGTAAGCAGCCAAATTCCGCTCTTGATATAGAACATTAGGGGACTTGCAGATGTAACCATTCGGGTCTACTTTGTCATACTGAAAACAGAATGCAGTTTTAGTTTTAGGATTCATTGTGATGTTTCTTCAGCCTCGTTTAGCTGAACTCTGGGGAAACAGCTGAAATACCTATACAGGAAGTGTTACCTACCAAACGATTTGTAGTTCTGAAATTCACACAGCTTTTTCACACAGCGCAGCTCAGCCTGGCAGTTGAGGAAACTTGATCTTTCCCTGCTGCAGTTTCAGTTTTACTTCGGGCCGGATTGCAATCGTGGATTGCTGCGCGGTCACAGAGTCACCCAGCATAGACGGTCCCGCTGTGGCTGCCATTATTTTCTAATGTCACCCCAGTTGCGCCGGGCCGATCGCGCGGTTTCCCGCCGAAACAGCCGCGCATCATGTATAGCAAAAAAAGGTACATGTACCTTTTTTTTTCTGCGATTGACCGTGGATGCCATCCCATTTAAATCAATAGGGCAATCGCTGTCTGCACTGTGCAGGACCGCACAATCCCGAGACGCGCAATCCCAGATTGCTCAGGTCTGCACCGGGCGTTACAGGTCCTCTCCCGTAGCCTGTGACAGGACAGTGAAAAAAGAAGCAGTACACTGTTGAGCTCATTTGTAACTCTTCTTTCTCCTCCTGTCAGCATGCTTCTTGTTGGAGCATGACCACTGCAGCACAACGGATTGGCTCCTTGTGCTGCTTTTTCCTTTCCCAGACTGTGCACGGACTGCAAGAGGCTGATGCCAAGTCAGGTTCACGAACTAACACTCCTTAGATTTCTAAATTCCTTATTTTTAAAGCTGAACTGACTGTTATATTATCTCTACTTAACCCAATAATGGATTCATTAGCAATATTCTAGTATACATCATATTTCATGTCCTTGTTCCTTTTTATTTTGGCAGTTGTATAATGCGTTTCCATCAATACTACGTTGGTTGCCTGGAACTCACAGAACAGTCGTGCAAAACCAAATAGAAATGCATGCATTTATTAGGGAGACCTTTACCACCCAAAGGAAACAACTGGATGTCAATGACCAGAGGAACCTTGTGGATGCATTCTTGGTGAAACAGCAAGAGGTAAGGCGACACTTCTGAAAAGTGAGTCATTTAAAAAGAGAAGCAATTGCTTAAAATAAACAAGTAAAACAGCTGCTACAGATGTGTTTTTAGCTTGACTATCCCTTAAAAAACATAATTTCGAGGTTGGAAGAAAAGATATTTAAAGTGAACCTTCACCCTGATCCTCAACACTAGGAGGCTGCTATGGGGCCTGGTGATGGAAGGGCCAAAATCCAGTGTACCCATCGCACTCCTGACAGAATAATACCCTCAGAGTCGGGTGGTTGCCAAAGTGACTGCAGATGCCTCTGCAATCCAAGATAAGTATATGTATAAAGTAGGGCTGTGGAAATTAAAGATTCATTTCTTGATTAATCGTTAAACACAGTCACTCGCACTCCAATAGAATTTCAAGTCAAAAATGGTTTATTGACTCGATTGCTATCATATCATATAGCTGACGTTTCCGAACAACATCGGTTGCTTCTTCAGGCAACAGAATGTGAAACACCACGGTACAAGTGCAGATATATATACATGGTGAGAAAGACAGTGGACCAATCACATGAACAACCCCTCCGTTGCTGGAAAGACTATGCATTTCCGCCATAATGATTAAATAACAAAGCATCACATGTAAGACATTACCCAGATCAATCAGGATCATCTGGCCCTTTAAGAGTTCTAAATGTGCTGCCATGTTGCCTCTGGCCTTGCTGTAAACTACAACATGTGCTCCCGAGTTAGCTCCGCCCCAAACACTATTCAAGTGTGGAGATGGGCGGGATCTCTAGCTCCATGGAGACTGTGTCTCTGTCGGCCTGCAGCCTGATTAGAGAGAATGCTCGTCCATGTAGCATAAGCGTTGCCTAGCAACCAGGCAAAACACACTATTCTGATACTGAATACCGTGTTTCCCCGAAAGTAAGACCTAGCGGATTTCTGTAATATAAGACCTACCCCGAAAGTAAGACCTAGCGGATTTCTGTAATATAAGACCTACCCCGAAAGTAAGACCTAGCGGATTTCTGTAATATAAGACCTACCCCGAAAGTAAGACCTAGCGGATTTCTGTAATATAAGACCTACCCCGAAAGTAAGACCTAGCGGATTTCTGTAATATAAGACCTACCCCGAAAGTAAGACCTAGCGGATTTCTGTAATATAAGACCTACCCCGAAAGTAAGACCTAGCGGATTTCTGTAATATAAGACCTACCCCGAAAGTAAGACCTAGCGGATTTCTGTAATATAAGACCTACCCCGAAAGTAAGACCTAGCGGATTTCTGTAATATAAGACCTACCCCGAAAGTAAGACCTAGCGGATTTCTGTAATATAAGACCTACCCCGAAAATAAGACCTAGTGTCTTATTTCGTGCAAAAAAAAAATAAGACACTGTCTTATTTTCGGGGAAACACGGTATCACTCTTGTTAAGACATAAATAGGAGCATATGCAACAGGATATCAGTTTGCTATATGATGTGATAGCAATCGAGTCAATAAACCGTTTTTGACTTGGAATTCTATTGGAGTGCGAGTGACTTTATACATATACTTATATTGGTGATGGAAGGGGGCCCCATTAGTTTGTTGAGGCAAATTAAACATGTGAAGATAATACATTACTCTATCACTAAGGCTAGGTTCACACCTAGGCAATTTATCGCATGGATTGAGTCGCACGATATCGCGCAAAACACAGATTCGCATTGAAGTCAGTAGAGGCTGTCCACACCTTTGCTGTTTGTTATGCGCGTACGAAATCGCCTGTCATGCAAAAAGGTGCAGGAGCTATTTTCGGGCGGTTGTCGTGCGGTTTGGGTCCCATAGACATCTCTATGCATTGAAAACCACACAATAACTGCGCGGTTTTTTAAAAGAACACTCGCACAAACGAAAACGCCTAAGGCTAGGTGTCAACCTAGCCTTAGGGTTGCAGTGGTTGCAGTTTACGACAACTGTTAAAGTCAACAGTGCAGAGATGACTGCAGATGCACAAGAGGAGTCTTTGGGATCTTGCCATTGTTAATCACAGCTCAGGGAGAGGTCATGTGGGGGGTCTCCATCACATTTTTGCTATGGGGCAGGAAGATCCTGTGTATGTGCTTGAACATTAGCTCCAACAGTTTATATAACTGTATGTGTCATAAAGGGGGGAAAACCTTTTCCTGAGATCTCATGGTCGGTGTAACATACGGCCGGGATCTCCCTGGAGAGCGCTGGTGATGTAGACTTCCCAGTGTGCATCTCTATGGCCTTGGCTACATCACCAGTGCCTTCATGGACCAGGACGTGAAATTAATTTGTAATTAAGTTGTAAGTAAGTACATTAATATTGTATATGTATTTGAGTTATAAAAGTACTTGAAGTTTCTTTGGGGGGGAGGTGCATGCAGAACTCGATGCACCCGCGATTGTGTGTTGGGGGAAGGGGGGTGGATCCCACCATCCAAGGATAAGTGTCATTAGTTTCCATGGTGGTGGTGGCAAAATTTTGAGGCACCCCTGAGGAAGCCAGAAGGCACCTTGGTTGAGAAAGACCACAGTATGGTAAGGGGAAATTCCTTTGCAAACTGCAGATTGTCTTGCAAAGTGAACAGCCTATATCCCTTTAGTAAATCAACCACAATAAACCCCTAAATACTTACATAGTTACATAGTATTTGAGTTTGAATAAAGACACAAGTCCATCAAGTCCAACCTATTGTGTGTATGCATTTATGAGCTGATGTGTGCATGTGTACGAGTCCATGTGCGATTTTTCTCTTAGCTATACCTGTACCTCTGTATGTTATGCTCTCCCAGGAACTCGTCCAGGAGTCTCTTGAATGATTCCACACTCTTAGCTGAAATCACTTCCTGTGGCAGCGAGTTCCAAACCTTAACCGCTCTAATTGTGAAGAACCCCTTGCGCCCTGTGTGGTGATTTTTTTTTTCCACCAATTTTTGGTTGTGCCCTCTGGTCTTTGTTACAGAGCTGACCGTAAACAGTTTGTTACTGAGGTTGCTGTCACCCTTGAATAGTTTATACATAAAAATCATGTCCCCCCTCATGTCCTAACCTCCAACGAGAACATATTTAATTTTAACAACCTTGTATCATAGTTCAGATCCTCGAACCCCTTAATGAGTTTGGTTGCTCTCTTCTGGACTTTTTCCAGCTCAAGGACATCCTTTCTGAGTATTGGTGACCAAAACTGGACCACATACTCCAGATCTGGCCGAACCAGTGATCTATAAAGAGGCAAAATTATGGACTTGTCTCTGCAATACATCCCCTTCTTAATGCAAGACAGAACTCTGCTAGCTTTGTTTACAGCAGCCTGGTACTGCAAGCTGTTCTTCAATCTGCGGTCTATAATGACCCCCAAATCCTTCTCCGTTTCCGACTTCCCTAGTTGCATACCCATGAGTGTATAGTCCATTTGCCTATTTTTAGCTCCAAGGTGCATTACCTTACATTTATCGACATTGAACTTCATCTGCCATACAGTTGCCCACTCCCCGATTTTCTGCAGGTCGTCCTGTAATGTTATAATGTCTAGATCTGTGTCTACTACCCTCCCAATTTTCGTATCATCAGCAAACACTGAGATATGACTTCTCACTCCCTCCCCTATATCATTAATGAACAGGTTAAAAAGCATGGGACCCATCACTGAACCCTGGGGTACGCCACTAACGACCTCCGCCCAGTCTGAGAAGGTGCCGTTAACTGATACTCTTTGTACACGTTCCTTCAGCCAGTTTTCTATCCACGTGCACAATAGTTCATCTATGCCCATACCCCTTAGCTTGCATAACAAGCGTTTATGTGGCACAGTATCAAATGCTTTGGCAAAGTCCAGATACACTACGTACATTGTCCTCCCACCATCCAGATCTCTACTTACCTCTTCATAAAAGGTCAGCAGGTTGGTCTGGCAAGAACGATTCTTCCTAAATCCATGCTGCACATCACTTATTATACTATGATCCCGGACGAATTCCACTAAGTAGTCCTTAATAATTCCCTCTAACAGTTTACATACTATGCACGTTAGACTAACTGGTCTATAGTTCTCAGGTTGGCATTTTGACCCTTTTTTGAATATAGGTACCACATTAGCCTTTCGCCAATCTCCTGGCACTATACCAGCCATTACGGATTCCTTAAAAATGAGGAACAATGGTCTTGTTATCTCCTTGTTCAATTCTTTGAGTACCTTGGGGTGTAGATTATCAGGTCCTAATGCTTTATTTGCATTTAGTAATTTAAGCCTATGTTGTATCCCCGATTTCAGTCAACCATTCCGGTGTATTTCCTGTTAAATTATGTGTTTTATCATGTACATTAAACCCATCTGTTTCCTTGGTGAATACCGACGAGAAGAAAGTATTTAGCTCCTCAGCCCTCTCCCTGTCGCTTGTGAGTAGCAACCCATTTATGTCCTTTATTGGGCCTATCTGTTCCTTTCTCCCCTTTTTACTATTTATGTACTGAAAAAAAATGTTGGGGTTCTTTTTACTAACTTCGGCAATATATTTTTCACATTCAATTTTTGCCGCCCGGACTGCCAGTTTAAATATTTTATTAAGTTCTTTGTAGTTTTGGAATGCCGATACTGTCCTCTCTGTTTTATACTTACTAAATGCTAGTTTTTTTTCTTTAATGTACTTCTTTACCGATTTACTTAGCCATATTGGCTTTGTTTTCGATCTTACAATGATTACAATACTGCGCTGTAATATAATACTCTACAAAATATAAAGAAAAATAAACCGATTACCGGTACCTTCGTGGCTGGTGTGAGGGGGACAAGAGAGAGGAGGATTATTGTGTTGGACGACTTTCACTATCACTAATGGAATCACTGCTGTCCCTTGACTCAATGGAATCTTTTTCATTTTGTGAAACCTTAACAAGGAATCTATCCAATGTGACATTGCATTGTCGTTAGACAGACTCATCGCTCGCACTGCTGCAGCCTTATTCTGGTGGTGCTTTCTACAAGATTTTGCTCTTATTGCAAGACATTGCTTGTATATCAAGGCAACATTTTTCAGAAATGTTTGCTTGTCTTGCAAAACACTCTCAAACCAAGTTACTTGTAAACCAAGGTATTACTGTACTGAGCTTTCGGTCACGGGAGGACGCTAGTTTATGTTCTCCCGTGACCCTTAGGCCCTGTTCACACCTTTACGTTTTGTCGCACGTTCAAGGCTCTATGAACGCTCTACAAAACGTACAAACATGAAAATCCCATTGTTTTCTATGGGTATGGTTCACACCTTTCCGTATTTCCGCCCGTCTGAACGCCTTACAAAACGGCCTACGCCCAAACAAGTACATGTACTTCTTTGGGCCGTTTTTGTTGGGCGTTTCCATTGGGATACAGCCAAGTAGCCCTCGGAAACGCGCGTTTGTCGACGTTTTTTTTACAGCGAATCACGGTAAAAAAAACGGGCTACAAACGCGCGACAGACGGGCATATTTAATACGCCTAGGTGTGAACCCAGCCTTAAGAGAACTATGGGGAAAAACACTGACTCCATAGTTCTCCTTTAACTCTGTGAACATGCCAATAGGAAAGGAAAGGAGAATGGGGAAATCATCAATGTGCTCCTGCCACTTCATTATCCAATCAGCAGGATGGGATATTAGACCTAACTGAGTGAGAAGTGAGATCACAGACCTAGCTCTACATGATAAAGGAAAAAAATTATTTGTCAAGTTTGGTATGTAGGTATTTCAGCTATATAAATTAAATGTTGCCTCATTTTTAGCTTAAGGGCCTACAGTGGAAAGGACCCAGTTTCAGGAAAAAGCAAATGGTCACATAGCCTCTATCATAGTCTCTAAGTTTACAAATGTTGCCTTTCAGGAGAAGCCCGATCATCAATTATTTTTTACCAATGAAAACCTGACAATGCTCGTGACCGATCTCTTTTCTGCTGGGATGGAGACCACATCGACCACCCTTCGCTGGGGAATTCTACTGATGATAACTCACCCAGAGATCCAAAGTAAGAAAGATGCCGGTCTTTTATATGGTCTATTGCAGTGGTTCTCAACCTGTGTAACCTCAGGAACCTCATTTGTCCTTGGTCATTAAGTTGTTGCCCACGTGGCACTGCAATTGAGCGCACAGCATTGCGGTACTGTGTTTCATGTGCTAATTTATAAACACTAGAATGGGCAGCCCATTGTGTGGTGAGCATTGCAGTTAGCATCCCTACTGAAAGAAAATTATTTTAGAATAAACCATTTGGAAAGTGCATGGTTTTGGTTAGTCAAAGATAACCTATAGCAGGGGTAGGCAACCTCGGCACCAGACGTGAAAGTGCAAATCCATGAGGCATTGTAAGAGTCTGACATTCACAGACGTGACGCCCAGAAGCAGAGGCATTATGGGATATGTAGTTTCATGCACAGCTGGAGTACCAAGGTTGCCAACTCTTGATCTATAAGTTTTTGTTGCATGGTTTATTTGTTTACTATGTTCGGCAATTAGATATATATGTCTAGCGGTAACCCGCACTCATTCCAAAAAGTACTGCCTGAGTGCTCCACACCAATTTAGTGGTATAACTAAGGCCTCATTCACATGGGGCGATCTGGCAGTCCTTTGTAAGACCTTTGACTGCCTACCAAATAGGGTTGCCACCTTTTCTTCCATCAAAACCCAAACACTCTAGTGACATACAGAAATTTGGGGGGTAAGAATGAGTCATGGCTTATTCATATGTAAATAGTGTCACCCATTCATATGTAAGTATCACAGTCAAGACTATTTTCAGTGCGGGGCCAGTAGCCCCTATCTTAATCTTGGTTGCCCCGTCTGCCTGACATCTTGTGTCCGGGTTTCAGCTGCCATGAAACCTGGATGCAACATGTAAAATCCGGACTGTCCGGGTGAATCTCGGACAGGTGGCAAGCCTACTACCAAATCTTAGGCCCCATTCATACTGGACCATCTGAGATTCCTGCAGCAGGAATCTACGGATTCCTACCACGGGAACATCAGGTGTCTAAATTCAGGTAAGGCCACTGTACCCATTGAGGTCAATAACAAGGCCACAGCGACTGCATCTGTAAACGGCAGTCCCCATGCAATCATATATGATGCGATTATGTGAGGTTTGGTATAGATCACTGTCCCTTGATGCAAAATAGATGTGTCCAGAGACAGTGATCTTTTTCAAACCGCATGTCATCATATATCATATGATGACATGCGGTTTGGAATAGATCACTGTTGCTTGCCAGACTGCTACTTACAGATGCGTCCCCTGTCACCTGGTCCTTAACTTGAATGGGCTCAGGGGCCATAACTGAACAGGGCCCCTGAACAATCCAAAGGTTCCTGCTGCAGGAATGTCAGAAGGCCCATTATGAATGGGGTCTAAGGTTTGGTAGGCACTCAAAGGTCTTCCTAGGAAGGAGTATAGACTAGATTTACTTTATATGAATATTTAATATGTGCCACTTTCAGCCAGCAGGTGGAGCACCATGCAGGGGCACAGATGTCAGCACTCCAGCTGTGGTGAAACTGCAAATCCCTTCACACCTCTGTCTCTAGGAGCCATGCCTGTGACTGATAGTTTCACCACAGCTGCAGTACTGAGGTTGCCTGCTCCTGCAATAAAAGGTGCTCTTTCAAGAATGTTCTTTTTTTAGTTGTAATGCTAAAAAAACAGACCTGAATAATAGTCCCCCTATCAGAGACAAAGGTATTGGCTTTATAATTCTTCCTGCTAGGGGAAATCAAGCACCATGTGGCTGGTGCTAGGCTTTCTTTTTAGACAGCCCAGCATGCTTTGCAAACTGAGTGTCGTGATCGAACATTGTAGTAAATGGTTATTTATTTGTATTATGAAGATTCTACACAAACAATTAAAAAAATTATGTATATTGGTTTGTAAATGTAAAAGTAAAATTAAATTGGTCAAAATACATCTACTATACTATATGTCAAAGCTTATGATTGCCCAGTAAGAACATAGTCCCTTTTTATGTAGCAGCAAGGTTTACAATAAAAATGTATTGAGACTGAACATTTTACTTTTACTTTCACGTTAATTTTTATATTGGATTCAGGGAAAGTCCAAAATGAGATTGAAAAAGTGATTGGATCGTCTCCGCCGCAGGCAGGTCACCGGAAGGACATGCCGTACACAGAAGCTGTTATTCACGAGATTCAGAGATTTGGAAATATTGTTCCGACCAACCTCTCACATTCTACTACTCAAGACGTCAACTTCCGTGGTTACTTTCTTCCAAAGGTAAGCAGCAAATTAGCACTCTGCCTCGTTATTTCATTCTTCACTCAGTATATTCTTTTGTTACCATTATCTTTCCAAATATCACATCCAAACATGTCATCAGTATCTTGAAGTTGTAAGAAAACCGACTAATGTAATTCTTTTACAAAACTTTTTTCCACTCTGTGGCCTTGTAAAACCGCTACACAGCACAATAGAGAATAAAAGGTAGCAATATTAACCACTTAAGGACCAAGGCCTTTTTTTAGTTTTTTGCTTACGTGTAATAATCCACATTTTGGGCCAGAAAATTACTTAAAACCCCCAAACATTAGGGGGGTTATTCCCGAAGGCAGCCGAGTGACTAACCGAGCCGAAGTGAAGTTAGACGAACGCTGTTCGGCTATTCACTTCAGCCTTGTACGGCTGATTTCAGCCGCACATCGGCTAAAATCAGCCGTACATCGGCCGCCTTCAATGTTCGGCTGAGCCGAAGTGCAGAAGGAGTTTGACCAACATCTGGATCGGCTGAGCAGAAGCTCTGGCAGCTCACTCGCTGCCATTCGCCCCTATTCTCATAGGGCCCAAACAGCAGTGAGTGAATAGCCGAAACCCGCCGAGCGGCATTCGGCTCTGTTATTCTGCTCGCTTCCTCCGAGGTACCGAGCAGAATAGAAAATAAGTGAAATGAATGAATAAACGAAAAAAAAAAACATGTTGAAAATTATTTAAAACATGTAAAAAAAATAGGAAATAGAAATTCGACCGCACACGACAAAACTCCAGCCAAAAAAGTAAAATCTGACAGATGCCAGTAAAATAAAAACAATTGGGCGGAGCTAGCGGTGACATAATTGCTAGCTCCGCCCAACTATTTCCTATTGGCTAGCACCTGCCAGAGTCTTCTAGCAGGTCCCAGGCAATAAATAACAACTGGGCGGACTCCACCCAGGTCATTTGGGGACGCTGATCTGTCATTACAACTGTGCGAAGCGAGCCGCAAGATCACGGCTGGCTCCGCCCAGCTGTCATTTGTGTGGAGATTGGTTAGTCAAGAAAGTAGTCACCACTCCAAGCTCGCTCCCGGGATGGACTACAATCTCAGTACAAATTAGAAAAATAAACGTGAATTTGGAGCGGTGACTGTCAGGTACGTCGAGTCTATGTAGTCTCACTGGATCGCAGCTGCGGAATTGAATTTAGTGTGGTTATGAAAAGGTGGTTCAGTGGGCGGTACCCTATTACACAGAGTGCAGTACGCATCATATACCACCGGGGAGACCTGAAGGGAATGGGGTTTGGAATCAATTGGTAAAGAAGCACCCCTTAACTGATAAGTAGTTAGGGCAAATGGGGAAGCAGCCTATGGTTTAAACATTAGTAAGCTGGCAGTTTGTGACCACCTAGGTTCAGTAAGTTAGATCAGATATGGCAGCTGTGTGCGTGCAGGCTATAGCAAGCTTGAGTTGAAATATACCACTCCTCTCCTCCAATGCAAGGCAGTTTGAAGCAACAGAACTAATGCAATTCCTTCTTAAGCATATTTATCTTAACATCAAGCAGTATAGCAGTTCAGTAACCACAGTATAGTTAGCGTAGCAATAAGTTAAATGTCCACTATCAGAATGCTGACTACGGCATGTGATATATCATTGGTAGTGCTGGTCTCCCAGATAACAGGGACAGTGCCCAAGGTACTTGCGATTAGTTGCTTCAGCCCTATAGACTAATATGGGCTAACAAGGACTCCTGGCCGCTAGCCCTGCGGGTGCTTCCGAGGTGGATGCTGGACTCTGTCAGTCTCCAGACTGTGGTCTCTAGGACAGCGTGCAGGTAAGGATAGCATAGGTTCACCGTTCGTCACTCGACACTCCAAAACGAGAGAACGCAGAGTGACGAAACAGCTGAGCCTTTCACTGTGGGGCTGCGCCCCGTGGGTGGAGTCTGCGTGACGTCATCGGCGGGACGTCACGTCACTGGAGCGAAGGAACGCACCGGGTAAGTCTATGACAGTGACTACTTTACAACACAAATATGGGGGACCATGGGGAACAAAAGTAGCCCCCCTCCAGAAGGAAGGACAGTGTCAGCACCGATTCAGAGATGATTGGAGGATCTACAGCCGAGTGATACACAAATAAGAACACGGCTGGCTCCGCCCAGCTGTCATTTGTGTGGAGATTGGTTAGTCAAGAAAGTAGTCACCACTCCAAGCTCGCTCCCGGGATGGACTACAATCTCAGTACAAATTAGAAAAATAAACGTGAATTTGGAGCGGTGACTGTCAGGTACGTCGAGTCTATGTAGTCTCACTGGATCGCAGCTGCGGAATTGAATTTAGTGTGGTTATGAAAAGGTGGTTCAGTGGGCGGTACCCTATTACACAGAGTGCAGTACGCATCATATACCACCGGGGAGACCTGAAGGGAATGGGGTTTGGAATCAATTGGTAAAGAAGCACCCCTTAACTGATAAGTAGTTAGGGCAAATGGGGAAGCAGCCTATGGTTTAAACATTAGTAAGCTGGCAGTTTGTGACCACCTAGGTTCAGTAAGTTAGATCAGATATGGCAGCTGTGTGCGTGCAGGCTATAGCAAGCTTGAGTTGAAATATACCACTCCTCTCCTCCAATGCAAGGCAGTTTGAAGCAACAGAACTAATGCAATTCCTTCTTAAGCATATTTATCTTAACATCAAGCAGTATAGCAGTTCAGTAACCACAGTATAGTTAGCGTAGCAATAAGTTAAATGTCCACTATCAGAATGCTGACTACGGCATGTGATATATCATTGGTAGTGCTGGTCTCCCAGATAACAGGGACAGTGCCCAAGGTACTTGCGATTAGTTGCTTCAGCCCTATAGACTAATATGGGCTAACAAGGACTCCTGGCCGCTAGCCCTGCGGGTGCTTCCGAGGTGGATGCTGGACTCTGTCAGTCTCCAGACTGTGGTCTCTAGGACAGCGTGCAGGTAAGGATAGCATAGGTTCACCGTTCGTCACTCGACACTCCAAAACGAGAGAACGCAGAGTGACGAAACAGCTGAGCCTTTCACTGTGGGGCTGCGCCCCGTGGGTGGAGTCTGCGTGACGTCATCGGCGGGACGTCACGTCACTGGAGCGAAGGAACGCACCGGGTAAGTCTATGACAGTGACTACTTTACAACACAAATATGGGGGACCATGGGGAACAAAAGTAGCCCCCCTCCAGAAGGAAGGACAGTGTCAGCACCGATTCAGAGATGATTGGAGGATCTACAGCCGAGTGATACACAAATAAGATACATTTTTGTTAATAGTTAAGGTTCTTGAATGTATTTTGAAGATTTAACTCCTGAGTTTAGTGTCACTTTAAAGCAATGCAAGGTGAAGGCTTTAAAGAAAACCCCAGGTCTCGGGCGAAAAGCCTCGAGAGTCAATGGGCAGGAGTGGCCCACAAAAGTAGGCTCTAGGGTAAGGGTGGAAGAGGGAAGATAAAAGGGAAGGAGAAAATAAAAAAAAGGGAAAGGGGGAGGCAGAAGGTTTAGGAAAAGGGAGAAAAAGAAGAAAGAAGGGAAAGAAAGAAAAGCAGATGAGTAGAAGTAGGTAAGAAACAGAATGAAGATCTAAAGCCAGAAAAAGGAGGTTGAGATGGATTAACTCATAACATGGGCTAGGTGGTTTTAGGAGGATACCAATGCATCCTCAAAACAGTGTGGACTCGCATAAGAGATACGGGGTCTCCAAATTTTCAAAAATGTACCGTAAGAAATCACTTGACTTTTTATCATCAATACAATTGTGTTACCATTTGTTGCACTGTTTTGTACAGTGATGTCAATAATGAGATGTTGATTTTTTTTGAGGGTACCCATGTAATTCCATTGCTGACTTCTGTGCTGTTCGATGAGGCCCACTTCAAAAAACCAGAGGAGTTTTATCCTGAACATTTCATGGATGCTGGAGGAAATTTTGTGAAGAAAGAAGCCTTCATCCCATTTTCAGCTGGTGAGTTACATGTTATGGGGTGGTCCCAAGTCATTATCCCAGTTCTTCGGTTCGCAAAACACTCAACACAGAATACTAAAATTCCATTGAAACTTCTGTCTCGTTCCAGTGCAGAGATTTCTGGTTTTAGTCCCATCATTTGGAGACAAAGCTAAAGCTAAACTTCGGCCTTATCTTTAGTCTTGCACAGTTGTACCAGCTCCTCTCCTGGATTGAAATGGCTTCCTTTATTTTTATATATATTAGGGATGCACCGATACTGGTTTTCCGGGAATCGAGAACGAGTACCGATATTTATATTTCGGTACTCACCGATACCAAGTACCGATACCGGTACTTCCGGTAGCATAGAGACAGCTTCCCTGGCAATCAGGGAGCAAGGCGGCGTGTCATGACCCACCGACCTGCTTCTTGATTGCCCAGGAAGCCGACTCCATTCTGTTTGGCTGCCTTGATGCTGATCGGCATCAAGGCTGGCCAAACAGATCTGGCAGTATGGTGACACAACCTCCACCCTGCAGACACCTCATTCCCTTCACATCGATCCTCAGCAGCATTCATTACCGTAACACTGATGTCCCTCGGCCAGATGGGCAGACACAGATTTCCAAGCTCTCCTGGATCTGCCCACGTCTCCTGGGTGTACAGCGCCCACATGATCGGCCCTCAGCCTGCTACTACACATGCGCAGACTGCCCAGCGCTCTCATTCAGACATTTTCTAGCAGAATCAAGCAGGCGGTGCTGGCGCTGTTCACACAGGAGACATGGGCAGATCTGGGAGAGCTTGGAGAGCGGTTTCTGCCCAGCTGGCCGAGGGACTGGTATGGTAATGACTGCTGCTGAGGATCTATGTGAGGGGAATGATTTTTGTTGTGTCACCATATTATCAGATTTGTTTGACCGGCTCATTGCTGATTGGCAGGGAAGCCGGCTTCCCGGCCAATCAACATTGAGCCGGCCAAACAGCATGGAGCCAGCTTCCCAGCTCCATGTTCCCTCGTGGCACTGCCGGTCAGAGGAAATCTCCCTCTGACCGGAAGTTTCAGTATTGGGAACTTATTGGAGCATTTGGGCGAGTACAAGTACTCTCACCCAAATACTCAGCATCAGCATGGATACCTATACTGGTATCGGTACTGGTGCATCCCTAATATATATATAGATAGATAGATAGATAGATAGATACCAATATTTTTAATTTAGTTTTGAATAGATTGGGGAAGCGTTATATCTACTCTCTGGTTATAATTACTTGCTCTTATTGAGGAGACTTTCACTCCTTACAACAGCGGCTATGGAGTCCCAGTTCTGATAACCTAATAATATATCTTCTACCTTTTCTAGGTAAAAGAAGCTGCGTTGGTGAGACATTGGCCAGGATGGAACTATTTTTGTTCTTTGTAAGTCTTCTACAGAACTTCACCTTCCAGGCTCCTCCCGGGACTAAGTTGGACCTTACACCAGCAGTTGGATTCACAAGGGGTCCTATGAGTCATAAAATCTGTGCTGTGTCCCGTGTGTAATACCGGATCATTACAATGTGAAAATGACTTTGTATTTATCTGGATGACAATATGAATGTATTCTAAACACATTTTTGGATTGAGTGGAGACTATAAGATATAGATGAGGCTCCACTTGCCCTGGAAAACACGGCTATTCTTTGCTCAATTGCTAAAGTTATCGTATACAAAGTTTCTAAATTAGTTTTTTGCCAGATAGAAGTGACCCAGTGACAATTATATTACTGAGCACCAATAATTCTGTGAAACATCATGACGGCCTAACAAACCATATTATGAAGCTCACGTCTGTATAATGAAGATCACATCAAACATTTTAATCTATTGTATACCTTTTAATATCTGTTTAACAAACCCAATAAATGGTTTTAACTAGGGATGCACCGATACAGATACTTGTATCGATATAGGTGCCGATACAGAGTATTTGGGCAAGTACTCGTACTCGCCCAAATGCTCCGATGCAAAGACCAATACTTTCTGTATCAGGAAGCTGGGCAGCGCGTCATTAATGACGCGCCGCCCGGCTTCCTGATTGGTCGGGAAGCTGGCCAATTAGGAAGCCGGGCGCCGTGTAATGACGCGCCGCCCGGCTTTCTGATTGGCCGGGAGCATGGAGCCGGCCTCCCGGCCAATCAGAAAGCAGGGCGCCGCGTCATTACACGGCACACGGCTTCCACGATTGGCCAGTAAGACGGCTCCGCCTGGGTACCCGGAGGAAGGCCGCTCCTGGCTGGATTGGCCCCCGGGGGTGACAGGCTAGACATGCTGAGGTGAGAGGGGACAGACTTTCTTGTTAATCGGGAAGCCGGGTGGCAAGTCTTTACACGCTGCCCGGCTTATCAGGAAGCTAGGTGGCGTGTCATTACACGCCACCTGGCTTGCTGAATGCGACTTCCGGTACTCGGTAATTGGTATCGGCGAAATACCGAAAAACAATTATCGGTACTCTTTATCCAAAATACCGGTATCGGTGCATCCCTAGTTTTAACACTAAAGACAAACTCCATTCTAAAGAGAAATTGTTATTTTTGTTTATTAATTCTTTATTCAGGTTTTCACAAATAAACAAACAATTTAATTTACAATTCGTTTTCTTTAAAATACATATATCATTTACACAAATAACAATCTTTCAATCAATCAATCAATCAATCGCCCTTCCCTATCTTATTTTATCCCCGGTTATCTACCTGGATTCCTCGACGGGGAGAGTCTTACTATCTTACTCTGTTTATTAATCAGATTTCATACCTACCCACAACTTACTAACTATGCTATATATTAGGGGTTCCAACATAGAGTGCCACTACCAACTAGAGGGGCAAAAAAAAAGAAAAACCCCTCTGCCCTTTTTTCTACCCATCCCACCCCTCCCCCCCCCCATCAGTGTTTAATATTATTATCAAAATTGTTTCATTTTGTGAGGTGAATTGATTCAAAATCAAAAGGCTATATAATTGTGGAAGTATCTCATTATTACTTCCTTCGTCATCATAATTTTGTGTTTAAGTGCATTTATTTCTTATATAGTGAACCTTACCTAATGTGCATAGTGCTGTATGGGTTTGTTATCCCTAGACTATGTGACAATATATATGTGTCTAGTGATCTATTGTTCCTCTTCTTTAATGTGACTCCTACTCTATTTATCCATATTATAACTGCTAGGGGGGCCCCCCTTCGACCCATGCAACATCCAAAAAAGAGAAAGGAAAAAAAAAACCCTGATCATGACCTATAGGCTCTGTTATCAATAGAATTTTGTCTTTCTGTGTTTTTCTCATTGGGATCAACTTCCTGTTCTATAACTTATGAAGGCAGAGGTCTTTAGATCTCCAAATACAGCCTATTCTCAATTTTATTCCATCACGATGGACTGGACTGTGTTATGAAGATCACATTAAGCATTTTTATCTCTTATAGGCTTTTAGTTTTAGTTAGCAGAGGTTTTAATACTAAAGACAAACTCCTTTTTAAACAAAAATTGTTCTATAATTTATGAAGGCAGAGGTGTTTAAATCTCCAAATACAACCTATTCTCAATCTTGTCTAAGTTTTGGAGCCAGGAGGGCTACTAATATGCAAGTAAGTTTATTACCTATGCAGACATCCATTGAGTGTCCTAGCCTGTCCTGTTTTCAGATCACTGAATGCCAGTGGGAGGAGGGCTGTATCTGTGCCAGCCCCTAATATTGTATCATCATGACTGACACAAGAGGTCCAGGAAGGAAAAGTCCTACAGGTCCATGGCACTAGATTTGTTTTCTAGTTCAGGCAGACAAAAAAAAAATCTATTTTTTCTAGGGATGTGCAAATTAACGATTAATTTCTCGATTAACCGTTAATCTTTTTGATCGCTTAAAATTTTTTTGATCGATTAATTTTTTTTTAAACTCTGCACGAGCGCCAGCCAAGGCATTGGCCTATACACATACAGCACAGCAATGAAGTCATACAATGAATTATGATCACACTAATCCAGCACGTTATTATTCTGAGTTGCCCCACGTGAGATTAATAACGTGCTGGATTAGTGTGATCCTAGTTAATTTTATTACTTCATTGCTGTGCTTTATGTGTATAGGCCAATGTAGTTGGATCTGTATGTGCATTATAATTAATCGAAATTAATCAATTAATCGATTAAAAAAAATTCGATTAATCGTACACAAAAATTTTAATCATTACCAGCCCTAATTTTTTCCCTTCCATGTGTGTACGACTGTTGGATCGAGGGGAACCCCATACATATTACCTGACGTTTCCCAGAACAGGTTTTTATTCTGAACCTACATTTATACAAATATTGCTTATGGCCTTCTACATTAAAGTCCAGTTTGGTCAAAGAATTCAAAATGTCAGTCACAACACTATGTGCTCCTATGTGCAACCCTATCTCCAGTGCAACCCATCCAGGAGTCCAGGGTTTAAAGGGCTCGCCACCTTCTCCAAGGCTGACAGGAGAATGCTGCAGAGAGCAGCACAGGTCATTTTGCTCTCTGCAGCATTTAAGACCCAGCTTCCACCTTAGAAGGAAAAGAGCAAAGAGGGCCGTCACATGACCAGAAAAAAGACACCTATAAAAAAATGTGTACATATTTTTTTTTTTTTTTAAAGGACCAAGGGGCGCTCTAGTTAGGATAGGGAAGGAGCAACTGAACAGGGAGATCCCAAGCTCAGAATTTGTTAATAAAACACAAATTGTTATATTTTGGCGGTATCATAAGAAAAGTCTTTCAGAAACTTTTTGCATCGAATTTATATTTTGGGAACATACTTTTTTGAGACGTGTTGCTGCCATCAATTTCAAAATTACCTGATTTTTTTTTTTTTTTTTACTAAAATGTTCCATTTTCTCAGTTTAAATGTTTTCCATGTTCTATTATGAATAACATCTGGATTTGCAGATCATTGTATTCTGTTTTTAGCTGGATTTTTTTATTTTTTTAGCAAATAGATTTTTATTCAAAGTTTGTTAATATAAAGACATAGGACATAACATGACTCCGAACAGAAGGAGTCCGCATATTTCTATTATCAGCATATACTACTAAAAGAACAAGATGAAACAGCAAAATAATAATACAAATTAATAATAATACAAAATAATAATACATTCCCATGTCAATTGTAGATGACAAGATAACAAATATGTAGATAAACAAGGTACCTGAAATGATGACATCAGTGTACATTTGCATTAGATCGTATGAATCAGACAACTGACATGGGTATTATATGGGACTGATCAAAACCTGGTAGATTAGGGACGAGACTGGGGGGAGGGTATGGATGTGCGTGAAGGGCTACTGGATAGGGGAGTGGTTGAGACATGTATCTAGGAATCAAGGTCCTCATTTCCTGATGTGGTGGGTAGGTAGATTTTACATAGAGTCCCAATTTTTTTGGAATTGGGGTTGCATAATCTGACAGGCAATGGTGAAGTTGGCTAAATGGAAGCAAAAATCCCCCACTGGACCAGTGCAAAGCACAGCAAATGATTCTTAGAACAGAAACTATTTACACAATATACAAAAATAAGAGGATTATTCCTAATTTTAGGATACTGAGTGCAACCGTGCATATGATTTCTTTAAGTGTCAGGTCCCACATTCATGGAAGATAGAATTAGTTTAGCTAAGCCCTGCCCATTACTCAATACCCTGAGACTCCAAGCAGCCAATTGTGCAAAGTTGAGCCCTTGTGGATTTCTTGGTCTTACGCCTGTCCTGCAGACTTTTTTCTGTCTTCACTGTACAGTACAGATTGCACACAAGCTGAGTGACAACATAGCGATATCTATCCTGGTCTGGGGCTGTGACGACCACTGTACAGAAAAAACTGAAAAAGGAGAATCGGTTACTTGTTGCCCTTTAATATATATAAAAAAAGCTGCTGTACACTTATTGAACCAAGGTAAATGTTTTACTATGGTGCCCAGAGATATTGGCTTATTGATCAGAGTAATTACATTTATATAGCTAAAACTGAACAGGATATGGAAACAAACTAAACCATAAGGAAGAACAATGACATGACATACAGGAGACTGGTATGGTTTAATCATGGAACTGAAGGACACATGGAACTGAGATATGAATAACTTTTGTTATACAGCAACTAGTTTTAAAGCCCATCTCCTGTTGCCCGACCCACAACGTGGGTTTAGAAAATGCAAAAAAACTCACCTAAATCTACAGTCCCGCCCGTGCACCTTCCCCCAATGCTTCCCTTGAGATTGATAACACAACTATCCACCCCTCCCCCCATGCCAAGATCCTAGGTGTCATCTTTGACTCGGACCTCACCTTTCTTCCCCACATCCAATCGCTATCCAAATCCTGCCGCCTTCACCTTCGTAACATCTCCAAAATGCGCCCCTTCCTCCCCAATGAAACCGCAAAATTACTCTTCCACTCCCTTGTTATATCTCGTCTTGACTATTGCAACTCTGTCCTCATTGGCCGACCTCTGCACAGGCTCCTCCCCCCTTCAGT